TGTACAGAAGATAGAGCAGTTTATCAATCCACCTAAGTTATACACACTATGCGTGTGCAATTTGCTAATGTTGGATCTGAAAAATTCTGGCGAATTGCCAAATCGCGTCGCGACTGAAATCGCGTGAAGTATGCCCGGCCCTTGAGGCCTAAGGCATACCTCGCGCGACTTTGTCAAATCGCTACTTCCACGCGATTTGGCGGTTTGCCAGATATTTACAAATCAACCGTGAGCGGGTCCTAAAGGCACAGGCGAGTAGCTTCCGTAAGTTATGTCAAAAGCATCAAGGCTGGCCCATGCAAAGTGCACTTACGATCAGTTATGAAGAGTCGCTGCAGTGCTAGATAGCGCAGCGATTGACATCGCGTGAGGTATGCCTTAGGCCTAAGGCATACCTCACGCGATTTTAGTCGCTGCGCGATTTGGCACTGCAACGACTCTCCATAGCTGGTCGTAAATGCACTTTGTCGCGGATTGGGCCCCCGGCTCCCAATGTCAGTGGTATTGGGCTCTCCTGCATCGGCGAGGGGAGCCAGGGGTCCCATCCGGGATAAGATGTAGCGTACATTGTGGTGGCGTTACCTGTAAGAATGCGAATTCCGCCTGCCACACAACATGTCATGCACACATAGAGGCCCTTGCCACCAGCCTACTTAGCAGTTACTCGACACTTGCGACTCGACTCATACTCCGAACAATCGACAGTTTGGGGGGGGGGTACTTATAAGCGAGGCAATAAGCGAGGCACTGTCTAGAATCGTGCCTGCCTTCTGACAGATCTATCCCACTAGGCATGATTATAAGGTACACATACAAAATGATGACACAAGATATCTCCGGAGCCACAGCCGAGCTGGGGCTCACCGCATCAAAACAAATCACACATGCAAAATGCCCACCATTCATCCACAACTATTCCCCAACCTCAAACACAAGGGTGGAGCACAACCAGACCGATGTTAACCTAGGGGGCAACAATATTGAGAAACCCCGTAGCGGTGTCGCCGGCGTGTCCTAGGCGCGAGCGCTCACGGAAATACCTCGCCTGCGGGGTTGCCTGTCCTCCGTGTTGGATGTAGATGACGCGTGAGTTGGGACGGCGCTGCATCGCTTGACACGAGTGAAGACGAAACTGGGCCCCAACCCTCACCAGGCAATATCGACCACTGATTTGAAAGCTGCGACAGTAGCGGTGGGAAGGCGGGAGCAGCGCGAGGACAGCGTTTCGGGACCCCTACGCAGCGCGGCGGCGGCCTCCTTTGAAGGATGTTGCGGATCCGCGATACACTTTGCTTGGGCCAGACTTGCTGCGTTTGTTACAATTTACAGATTCTACCACCCATCTGAGAGCCTCGTGCCTAATCTCTAAACATCTGACAAATCGCAAGTCGCGAGGATGTGGCGATTTCGCGAAATCGCGAGAGGTATGCCTTAGGCCTAAGAAACGGGATTGCTTTTGGGATTGCCGTTTTGCAGCATGCACAAAAAAGTATCATCGATTTTGATAACAGATGAAGGCGATGACGCAGCAGCTCAAAGTGTGCTGATTTTTGGTAACGAGAGAGATCGAGAAGCAATGAACGAACGTAGAGGGTCAAGCAGCCCATCGCTGAGATTTGTAATGCTTCGCTTCTATCTGAATCGGAGATTCGATGATGCGTTCGTACAGGACTTTGTCAAATTGTGAAGGTTCATATCGGTTGCGGACATTGCCCACTAGACCACCTCTGAGTCTCAAATTAGCCCTCGCACTTCTCGAAATCGCTTCTCGTGATTGATTATGCCGCCAGCGGTTGAAAGCCAACATCTGATGGTAGAAAAGCACTTGACAGAAGAAAAAAATTGAAAGAGTCTTGTTGGTTGGCCGTTGCGTGAGCAATGCTTGCAAACTCAGCAACTTTCACAATCAGGCACAACCCACTACAGGCTGTGTAATACAAAAGCGCGCGCAGTGAAACCCCTCAGCGGAAGCTGACCATGCAGCCACGACGCAATTTAGCGTGTATGGACAATGATGCACTCGGCGTTCCATCTTTGTTTTCCCTATGCAGAGCTGGGGGTATGTCAAAAGGTGTTGCGGCACTCGTCATTGTGGGTTTGCATCCTATAAAAGCAAGAATGTCAGGCTTTGGGTGGGGAGGGGGAGGGGGGAGGTTCAGCATAGCAGCAAGTGTAGCGCAAGTCATGTGGATTCCTAGATAACTCAACAGAACAAATTCAAAACTCTTCTTGCTTCTTACAAGGGAAGTCGCATAACTTAGGTCGGCCTTTTGAAATGAGACACATATATTTAGAATCAGCTTGGAACTCTGATTTCAAATAAGCTGTTCTTAGCTGCGAAGCGTTTCTCTGAAGCGAGTTATGGGCTTTTTACTAAGCAAAGTTTGCGTGCTGATCGGCATGGGCATGCTACGGTATCGTTATCCAAGTAGTAGTTCAAATGCATCTTTCCAGGCCTTCTTTCCATATTTACTTATATGTCAATTACACATATTAAAAAGCTTATAACTCGCTTCAGAGGAAAGCTTCGCAGCTAAGGACAGCATATTTGGAACCAGCTGATTTTAAATATATGTGTTTTACTCCAAAAGGCCGACCTAAGTCAAGTGACTTCCCTTGTTAGTGACAAGCGGTCAATTGGCCTTTCGACTGTCTCTTGTGCTTTGTATCTCTCGCATTTTCTGCACATTTTGTTCCTCTACTCCATGCACACTTGACAGCGGCGCTATTCCACACTAATTGAGCCAAAGAATGGAAATCGTGAATTTCGCTAAAACTTCATCTAGGGAGGTTATTTGGTACGCTGAACATGATATGATGTTTATTACGTGCGACAGCACCATCCGGTGAAGTTACTATAGGCTACGGTAGGGGGTCATAATCACGGATTTGCCCGAAACTTGGCCCAGAGGGGTTATTCGGCTCCGCATCGCCGTACACCCGTTCCAGGCAGAACTATGTTTTGCACCCGTTACCATGTAGCTACCGTAACCCGAAAAAATGACGCTACGGTTCAAAACCAATGTGATATTTGGCATCAACGGGCCGAATAACCTCTCTGGGCCATGTTTCGGGCGCATCCGTGATTTTGGCCCTTTAGTAGTCCTACCGTAACTCCACCGGATAGTGCTGTTCCACGAAATAAACATCATCTTCGTGTTCAGCATGCCAAATAACCCCTCTAGACGAAGTTTCGGGCAAATCTATGATTTTACCCCCTACTGTAATCCTACCAAACTCCACCGGATGGCGCTGTGCACGAAATAAAATCATATTCGTGTTCAACATACCAAATAACCTCACTAGACGAAGTTTTAGCGAAATTCACGATTTTCATTTTTTGGGTCAACTAGTGCGGAATAGTACCCTTGCAGCGTTGGCTTGAGATATCACATTGTTGGGCATGTCGGTTGCTCGCCCAGATTTCCACAAGCAGAAATATTGTAATACCAATTCATAAAACTAATTTGCTTATATTACTATCTTATCTTTGCTTATCTTACACGGATACTCCTAAGCAAAAGATAAAAACCAAAATAATCTCAATGAATTTGACAGAAAGTGCTATTTCGTGCAGCTTACAGATTTTATCATTCAGTGTCCTTTCCGACAGGATAATTTAGGAAAAATGGATGACCTGGAACTACTAAGACAAAAGATCCAGACTAAAGAGGCCAAGTTGCATCTGATGAAAGTAAAAGGTGATTTAGAAATGCAGATTGAAGATGCAACAGCGCATCTGAAAACATGTGAAGACCATGGATATTAAAATATGCCACCGGGCTAGGCATGCGGAAGCAACATCCAAAAGTTGGGAAATGGACAGCTGTTGACGAGGACTTGTGTAGCTTCTGAGGGGGGCACGCGGAAGGCGACAATCGGCGAAAAATGGAGGCTGTGTATCATCCGTCTCAATGACTTTCACGGATTTCTACTTATGGCATTGAGTAATGTATCTGCCCCCACCCCCCACCCCCGTAGTCCCCCGGGGTGTCACTTTGACACCGAAGAGTTTTTGATAGGCACAAAATTGGGGATTGTCGCCTTCCGCACCACACCCGCTTCTGAGCTATACAATACTGCTCACATTTTTTGAAATAGACGCAAATGTACATACATGTCGCTACATGTTCATACATGTAGCGACATGTATGTACATTTGCGTCTATTTCAAAAAATGTGAGCGGTATTGTATTATTCTTGTTTGAACCGCACAGCTATAAGCTTTACCGCAAATGTGTGAAGCACAAGGTCGTTAATATGAAGCGACAACTTTTCTCTGCTTAAACTTCGCACTCATTTTTCGTGTATTCGTATTGTGGTACGGGCAAATGTGCAAAAAAAAGCGCACTATTTAACTCATGACAAAAATAAAGCTCAATCATTTTTCGAGAATTAGTAAAATTGCGGTTATATTGAGCTAAAGCAAAAATGAAGAGTTGTGCCCAACCTCAATCAAGCGCGAGACGAAACTGCAAGCAATGGTGGTAAATTTGACTCACTGAGGTTAGTGGAAATACTGAGAGTTAAAGACAAATTGAGATATGTTCCGAGAAGTAGAAGTTGATGTTTTACTGTAATTGGAGAATTACCCAATGCCATATCGAGGATGTCCATTCTCGCATAGCATTGAAATCCTAAAATCTCCAATCTACTGGGTACTGCCTTCAAGGCTCAAAGTACTTTTCGCCGCCATGTCTTCAAATGGCTAGTATCGCAATCTTCATTTCTTTCCCATGTTGTATCGTCGAGTCATTTGTAACTTAATATGCGTAGTTCACACTATACACACTAACTGACGAACTGCGAAACTAGAACCTGCTCATTTCCAGTAATTTTTTCTTGTTTCCTTGTTTTTTTTGTTTTGGTTGGTTATATGTTAGTCAGTAGGACTCATTTCTACATTTTGCTAGGCTAGAAATGTTTTACTGGGAGGTTACTATTGTGGGTGCCGCGCTAATAGGGCTTGGTGTGCAGTTTCACATATTAGGTTACAAATGACTTGAGGTTACGATAACGATTCGCGATATTTATTATCGCGAAGCCACAGAGAAGATGCCGAAGCAGTGTTGGCTAAGACGGATGAAATCATCAGGGATAGAAAGCCTTATCTATGCACTGTTTGCATTCATCTTCGTTACTGCCAGGTCACGGCTTTTCAGAGATGGTGTACAGTTGTATAACAACTCTAAAAATTCTTGCTCGGAAAATTTTTGTGTGAGGTAGGTCGTGCTCCCGTTGGATTGGCTTTCATTGCAAGAGCCCCTCTTGGTAAACATGAGATGACAAATTTTTTATAAGTGCAGTGAAGCTTGCCTCGTCGAAGATATGGAAAGGAACGTAGAGAAATGGATGGTGATCGTGAGCCGTGAGAGACTTCAATACGAAATCTTCCGAGAGGTATTGTGAGATAAGATTTGTTCAATTCTATTTAATTTTATTTTACCATAACTTGAATTTCAAACAGGATGATGTTCATGGTAACAAGCACTGCCATTCAGGTAGAATCCCTACATGACTGGCATGTGATTATAGTATCTTATAACAATCCTGGAGCAAATCCCACAGACGTATATTGGTTCAACACTGCAGACTACAATGGTGGGTTTACTGTCAAAAGTTCAAATTGATAGGAGAAGTCGTCCCGGTATATTTGTCACCTTCGTGCTGACAGACTGTAGCGACATGCGGTCGAAGTTAGGAGTGACAGGTTGTTAACAGATGTTAACAGGCCAGGCACAGAAGTACAGGATTAACTCAAATAAGCTGTACCAGTTGTGTACAATTTCAAAAACATGTGATCAGTGGATTGTGCTACAAAACACGCCTCGGAACAAGTTTTCCGCCATTACGTCCTAATAGTCATGGACTATACAAAACTAAGAATTTTGACATAAATCTTAGTTTTTTGTGATAGTTCTGCGGTCAACAATCTGAGTTAAAGCCAGTATGAATTTACTGCATGATTTTCTCCCATTGATTGGGCAATAATTTGTACAAAACCCGCCTTGATAGATATCCGCGCCATTCGGACCTTTGTGTTGAACATATCATTTCTCAAAAATAATAATTACCAGTGCTTCACCTCTGCTTCGCAGAGGTTCGCACTGGCCACCAAGAAACGATGATAAACTTACGATGTGAAGGCTTTCTTTTAGATTATTGCCAGGTTCACTGCGGTGAGATAGTTCCTAATTAAAAATGAACCATACTCGCTATCAGAACCTCACATGCTGCAGTGTATTGTAGATCATTCCTCACTGCATTTTCGTAACAGACAGACTTACAGACCGACAAATAAGCGGCTTATTATAAGTCATGATAATAGTCGGTATCCCTATTTTCATGGTAAGATCACGGCGACAAAGTCCGACACAGCTTATGTGAATCCTAAAGCATAAAGAGGAGAGCGCGTGTCTTTCTCTCAGCCACACCCACCCCTCACTTTTGCCTCTGACATTTACTCAGCATGCTCCAGCCTCCACCACCTAACTGACAGGCTGCACGGCAAGGGCTCGTGTACCATTGTCGACTCACTAGTTACGAAGTGCCTTTTAAAAATACCGCATCCTTCTCATCCTAATTGAAATGAGCTCTACTCTGTGTACGCAAAACCGTGTAAATCTATAGTTTCTAGCAGTGAAACGGTTTTATAGAAGGAGTTATGAGGGGTACCCCTCTTGAGGGGCGGAAGTTTCTCACCCTAGCCATATTCTCGCACCTAAGTGATGTGCCCGCCAGGCACATTCGGGCCCGCGATAACTACGAACTCTTCTGGATATCAAGACATTGCAAGTCCCGCCTTCTTATCCAGCGTCGCTTCGGATGTTGAAATTTATGCTACGGATATTTTTTCAATAATTCATTTACAATTTTCCGAAAACCCGTAAACCGGAATTTTGATCTTGTTTCAAAGAGATTTTGGCTAATTCTCCGATTTTTGATTTCGGTAGGGCATTATCGGTGCTGAACTTGACTTTGCAACAACAAGTCTCAGCCAGGGCTCGGCACGAGGTGGCTAGTTGAAAATGCAAAAAACGAAGTCCCCCTTGACTTTTGCGAATTTTTACGCAGTCCCCTTTGACCCTAGACCAGGGCTCGGCACGAGGTGGCGTCCCGAAATTGCAAAAAATGAAGTCCTTTTTGACTTCAATAAAATTACGATATCCGCCACGATATACGAAGAGAAAATACATGAAAAGGAACGGAACAAAGCAACAGCAGAAAAAAAAACGAAAAAGAATCATCAACACACGCGATGATATTCATATTCTCCGGAATGGCGGCATGATGTATCCATCGTGCAGCAATACGCGCCTAGAGCAGCCTTTCCGCGGCCATTCAAAATTTTCGAGGGGCTATAACTAAGCGGGGAGAAGGGGGTTTGAGGCGGTTTAGGAACCAGTTTGTAGGGTTTGGGATGTAGATGAAAAGTATACAAAGAAAGTAGAAAAATTATGTGAGGGAGGAAAAATCTATGACTTTTTCTTTCCTAAGCCACCTCAGGTGGCTATCAGGTGGCTTGAAAGCCACCTAACTGAAAAAAGTTGAGCACGCCTTTAGTTCACATAATTTTTTCATAATTTTTCATACTTAGTTCTAACTCCCCATCGTTCTAACTCATTGTCCATCTACACACCTATTTTGGTGTCATTTCATCCTCACTTCGCTGTAAACAAACCTTTTGTTTGTCTGCTAGCGGCATGCCGGCAGCGCGCCGGCCGCAGGTCGAAAGACAACGTTATGCTCTTCCGCAAAAACGATATCCCCTTTGCTTTTTCTCCAAAAAGATATCCAGCTTGCTTGCTAAGCCACCTGTGCCGTGCCCTGGTCTCAGCAGTGAAAAGAGCAACCTCGAAAACCCCTAAATCCGAAATTTGGTCTTGTTTGGAGCAGGTTCGCTGCTGAACTTCGATTTTAAAACTTTTTTTAAATTCCCGGTTCCAGCATCTGAGGCGACGCTGGATGAATGGGCGGTGCTTACAGTGTCTTGGTATCTAGAGGTGCTCGCCCTGGCAGGCATATCACTTAGGTACGAGAATATGGCTAGGGTGAGAAACTTTCGCCCCTCAAGAGGGGTATTTCCCTCAGGGGGTTGAGGCGCTTTCCAGCTGTTCCCCCTCTATGAGCACTATAAAGGAGTACCAACTGGTGGCAACTGGCTTAGTGGTAAGCGACTTGCTTGATAAGGAGAGTGTGAAGTTTTTAATCCCCTTCGATGCAACTTTATCGCAATTTTTGCGAAATTGAGCTTCTAAAATGGCTTTGGAGCCTAAAACCTGAAATTTCTGATGATTTTGATGCTTATCGAAGTTAGAAGTGTCAAAAAATCAAAGTAATATGAGTATTATAATCCTCATTACAATCTTCATTCAAATTACTTACACTAGGCCAACTGCCACCAGTTGGTACTCCTCTATAGTGCTCATAGGTAAAGGGAGACCTGCTGGAAAGCGCCTCAACCCTAGAGAGAAACACTACTCATAACTCTTTCTACAAAACCGTTACGCTGTTAGAGACCATAGATTTGGAATCAGTGTTTCAAGCGCTTCAAGATGATATATGTCTCATCTGGATTGGTGCTTTTGACTAAGTATCCTCTCCCCATAAAACTTTCGGATTCCCGATGAAATTTTTTTATATATTTGAAAAATAAAAACTTGCCAAATTCCAAACTGCTCAATTATATATACTACACATAAGACATTCATATGTACCGCTGCTGTGTTGGTTTCTGTGCTAGAAACCGAAAAAACTGAAATTATCAAGTTTTCAAAAATCAACGCTACGTTGTTCTCACGAAGGTAATTGTTTATCCAGACTTTAGAATACAACCACAGGTTTCCAGCTTTTTATAAGTTTTGGTTTTTGAGAAATATTGATTTCAACATAACACGCATAACAAAAAGAGCTAAGTTCGGTTTTCAAAAATTAGCATTTACAGGAAACTCAAAACTTGCCGTTGTATTTCTAAAAGCCTGCAGTATACATTTATTAGGTTGTTGCAAAAATAATGTCCGTTTTCCTAGGCCTACATTTCAAACAACTTTTTTCCATCAAACTTTCTCTTTCGATATAGAGTGCGCATATCATTGGAAAGCTTTTTTCATGTACTTTCTAACAATGGTGGAAATAGGCTGCTATCCTCATCTGTGAGAATTTCACCAGCATCTCGCATAACTGCACTCAAAATCGAAATTTCGATGCTTGAGTTTCCGTAGCCACAATTCAGGCGCAAATTAACGAATTCTTCTGAAAACATAGCATTTCTATTGGATGAAGATTGTTTACCTACTGCGTGTTTATGTGGATTTTTGGAGATATCTGGTCTGAGAAATGGACGCCTCGAAAGAGATACTCACTGCTGGCATTCTATGGATCAGAAATTTCTCATAATTAAGGCAATCGCCAAAGTTTCGCCCATTTCTGTAAGCTTAAGATTAGCACACCTCAACTACAGTATTTGAAGAGAAACTCAACTATTCAGTGCGCGAAGAATTTCAAATTTTTACAATTTGACACTTACAAGCCTACAACAGGTAGGCTTGAAAAAGTGAACTTTTTTGAATTTTTGTCTTTTCTTTTCGCAGAACTCTTTCGTCGGAGTCTTTTCTATACTCTCATAAACTCTTGGCCTGCTGCTACAAAATAAGCTGATTGCCAGCCATACGAACAAAACTTGAAGGGAGTTGTAAGCTCTTGAAGAAGAGGTTTTCGAGAGAAAAACTTTTAGTTTTTTGACGCGTGGTTTTCTTCCCAACTGCGATATCAGTATGAGCAGGCACGCGCTAAATTACGAATGGTTTGCTGTTTCTGATGGTCTTGACTGCATTCAAAAATATGAAAACTGAAGAAAGTTGTAGCCCTCCAAAGTGAAAATTTCCATAACGGACATTATTTTTGCAACAACCTAATACCTTTGTGAGAGCAGCGCTTTTTTGGAAACTTGCAAATTTTAGTTTTTTCTATTTCTAGCACAGAAACAATCTTATGTGGAATGTATATGCGAGGGCACGTTTGGGATCTGGTAAGTTTTTATTGGGCAAAGATATGAATAAAATTTGCATTTCTCGGGCATCCGAAATTTCTCAGATTTTGGCTTCTAACTCGTGATGTGCTGAAGCTGCTGCGAACGCTTACATGCCATTTTAAAAAGCTTGCTTTGCTCTATCAAATGTACCCTGCAATCCAAACAAAATTGAGAAATGCGTGAATTATTGCGGTAAAAAGTCAAAATTAAAAAAAATATATGAGACAACTAATATTTGGAAATTATACAAGTGTTTGCAAATATTTTCTGTTTTATTAGGCTGTTAACTAAGTTCTGCAACTTCTTTCATAACTTCCTTTCTTTCTTTGAATATGTGGTGTCCAAATTTGCACTGTATGCTACCAGCGAGCACAAACTGTTTTTTTTGTTAACAAGATATTAGGTCATTCCGAAAGTAATTTCGCTTTTTTCAATAAGCGCCACATCTGAAGGAAAAGTGATTTCTAAGAGATCTTCGTAGCATTCGATGCAACATTTCATCCTCTTTATGATAGTTGTGAAATCGTTGCAGCTCAGTCATTGAGCTTTCGGAAAGTATTCTTAACCTGCG